GCACGGCGACGGGTGGCAGAGTCGATGGCAAAGGGAAGTCTGGAATCGATCCGACTGAAGAAAGTGATGATTGCGTGTGTCTTGATGACGGGGTAAGCGGTGCGGATGAGACATCTTGGCTCAGCGTTGATTCTCGTCCGCTTTGTGGGGTATATTGAAAAACGGGAGTGTGATCCTGGACCCGGGAACTGTCCAATATTGAGGGTACTCTACTTGGGCGCGGAGGTCGTTGCGGCGGTGGTCCACGGCCCGGAGGAGGTCGATAGGGTTCCGCATCGGAGTTGTTCACGGGCGACGGAATCGGTCCTGGCAGCGGCCACTGTGGAATTTGTGTCGGTCGGGAGATGGCAAGCCCGGGGCTGCCATCTTTATTTTGCAAGCCATTCGGTAGTTGAAGTCTCGGTATCCGTGATTGTGTCGGCTCGACGATTTGACGCCGGTCTGAGACATCCGTGGGGCTGTCTGGATCTTCTTCCATTATCGGGAACCTCGTGGCGCTCGGCGGAGAATACTGTTCCCTCGGGAATCCGGCTTGAGCCCGCTCTCTCGCCCGCTTGACGGATCCTGCAACTGGCGGTCGATCCATATCTCTTCCATATTGGGGTTGACTCATTTAGTACTCGTGAATTCGATCCAGCGACATCAGAGTTTCGTTTTCCTCCTGACTTCCTGTTTGTTTTTTTTTCCTTTCCAAGATGCCTGTACGTCCAGGCACGACAATTAGACCATTCGCTCTGCGGTATCACCCAGGTGCAGCTTCTATAACCGTGGTTCCTGCGGGTCGCCAATGGTTAAGTGATGCGGTGGCGTAGCTGAAATTGTCCGAGGGGACGCTCGTATAGGCTCGCGGTGGCAATGCGACTTGCAGCAGACGACGCAGATTCGCGGATAGAAAAGAGCGGCTGAGAGTTAGATCAAATGAATGGCCGCTCAGCTCTTATGCGAGGCGGTGTAACTGTGTGAGGTTGAAAAACAGGACCCAGGCCTATTAGGAAGAATCGAAGTCTAGAGCGACGCTGAAGTGCAGTAGGGTGGCGAGTTGGCCAAGGAAAAGAACGTAACGAAAAGGCGGCGAAGGAATGAAGTGCGTACACTGAGGTAGCAGGATAGCAGATTGCTAAATGGATTAATTAGGATGGCAGGGAATGAAAAGACGCGTTGGACAATCTATGGTACAAAAGTCCAGGTCAGCACCGGATAAGTGTGAGGGGATTTGGAAGGAAGAGAGGCGAAGCGGAAGAGAGAGAGAGAGAGAGTAGAAGCAGCACGGCCACTCAAGGCAAACTGGCCCCCCAGTAACAGGTACAGAGGATTCCCGGTGGTTCGGGAGGGTTGCCTCAAGTCGGCCGCACCCTCTCCAAGCAAGGAACACCTGAACAGCCGGGCCACGGGTAGGGGGAGTCCCAAAGAGGATCACGTACATTTGGTGTTTCGAGACTTGGCCTTTGTCGGACGTGATTCGCCCAGCAGGCAAGATTTGTGATTGCTTTTGATAGAGAGATGAAGAGAGATGGGATGCAGTTGTGACGGCCTTGGATAGCAGACGGGTTTGTTGGTTGAGTGATTGAGTAAGTGAGCGACTGCGGTGATGAGAATGACTACAAGGTGATGGCATCGACGTCGGAGCAATGGCAAGAGCGCGTCTTAGCAGCAAATGCTTCGACAAACAGACGGGCCAACGCAGTCGTCGGCGCAACAGCAGCAGCAGAGTGCAACTCTGACGGCGGATGGGTGAAGAGAAATCGAGTGGGTGAGACGAGCGCGGGTGAGTGCACGACACACGATGGGTCTTGCGGTGCTGTAGAAAGGACTGAGAGTGTTTCAGACGGGCGGAACGGACAGGGTGTGTCCGGCGTCGGGGAGGCAGGTTGTCTCCGGGGGGGACCTAGTGACTGACGTCTGAAGATTTGGAGATCAAGAGACAATCAGGCGAAGAAGCAGGTCCGTGGTGGATTCAATGGTGATATGATGTGCGAACTGACAGGCGAGGTCGCGTGGGGTAACGGAGCGTCGATGATATGTGTTTGCTCCAAGGCGGAGTGAGGAATCCCGTGGCGACGGTCCGGTGAGAGAAAGACGGAGAGTCGCGAGAGAGCAATGAGGGTCAGAGAGGTTAATGACGCAGGCCTTGTTGAGGTTCTCGGACGGGTTGCGGCAGTTAGTCTTCAAGACAAAAACTTATGTCCGGTTGGCGGCGGCAAAAAGGAAGAAAAGACCAATGGCGGCCGATCAAGTCGACGAGATTGGAAGAAGAAAAGAAGGTCGAGAAGTGAAAGGTGTGCGTACGCAGTATGCGTGTGTGTGTGTGTGAACTGGGTCTGTGTCTGTGTGTATTGAATTGGTTGGTCGGCGGACACACACATGTACGTATCGTGACGGGATCTGATCTGTCGAGGGACAGTAGAACGGACGGGCCGCGTGCCTGGCTGGACAACCCGTATGTGACAGCTACAAGCGACGACTTACAAGAACCAGTATCGGTAGGGTTGACTCGACTGGTCTGCGGCAACAGGTCACAACCACACGGAAAGGTTGATGGAGGTGGTCCCGAGGTGGAAGTCAAGAAGAAAAGAGAGAGAGAGAGGAGTCGGTCGAGGCGGGACAGGAGGGATTAGAGAGGAAGTGAGGAGGGATCCCCAGAGATCAAAAACGAGTGGAAGCAGACTGCCAGAAGAGGGCCGGGCTGGGCTGGGTCTGAATCCCAATCTAGAGTCTAGAGACGGACGGGGGTGGGATTTTGGGACGTGGACTGGGGATGGTCTGGCCTGAGAGACAGCCCATTCAGCAGAATCGGTGCAAGAGAAAAGACTCCACCATCCACCGGCACGGAACTTGACTTTTGGAGTGAGAGAGAGAGAGAGAGAAAGACCAGGGGTGATAGTCGGTATTTTGCGAGCCTATGACCCTTTCCCCCCTTGCTGTTGCTGCTCGTACTGCGTACATACCTTCACTGCAAATTTCGTCCTCTTTTTTTTCTGCCTCTTCCCCTCTGCAGGTCCAGGTCAAGTCCGGATAATGCGCCGAAAGCGAGCGTAGTGGTGTTGCTATCCGTCTTTATCGGTACGAGTATGCTATGTAAAGAAGCGCAGTAAGCATGTAAAGTACCTTGAAATGGATATCTCACCGTAACATGGTCACGTACCTTGCAGTCGCAGCAAGCACAAGCACACACGTGGGGCACAGGGACGGGATTGCGCAAACGAAGTATCCAAAGATATCTGAAGGATGGAGGCAAAAAACGGAGTATTGTGCAGGGAAATGACGGGTGGGGATGTGGCCGTTGTAGAGTGACGCCAACATGCCCAGCTTTGCCCAAGTTGGTCGAGTGTCAAGAGGCCGTTGAAAAGGTCTCGTCTCAGTCAGTACCAACGTCCGGTGCTATCGTTCCCCCTTGCGGCTTGTGTTGATTACCTTTTGCTTTGCACGTGCCTTGGTCGGAAGTGCTAATATGAGTGTGGTAAGTAGGGTAAGTTAAGCAGGAAAAGACACGAGTGAGGCGTCGATAGTCAAGCAAAGGCTGTGAAGCCAAGTCGCCCGTTGCTGCAAAGGTTGATGGCATGTCTCCAAGAGCTGCCCCTGGCTCCAGACTGGGTTCATTTTTGGGGACAACGAGATCCCAAAGTGGCAGATGGGTAAAGGATTCAACGAGGCACGGCTCATCTTGGGAGCTGTGGCTGACGCTAACACGACCGTTCCTGGTCCTTCCTGGTCGCCGCTGCCATCCTGGCTGCAGATGACAGGGGTGGCAGGGGAGAGAGACTGAGAGAAAGGAGGAGGAAGGACTATTGGCGAAGTCTTGACTTGCACCGGGCCGTTCTTGCAAGTTGCTCGCTTCACACTTTGCCGTCTCAAACGCAGGCAAGGCAGGTGTTAGTCTAACGCTCCTGCTTCGACTCTTTCCTTCTCCTCCCCTCTCTGCTGGCTTTGCTGCGTGCCTTCCCTGGTCTGCCCCGGCTGGAGGGGTCACTCTCCGGCCAACCCCTGCTCTCTGTAGTTTACATGTGGGTCAATCTGGTCTGGTGTGGGCCAATGATGAGCGTATCAGGCTTAACCAGAAACACTAGCGCAGGCACGCACCTCAAGACCCTTTCAATCCCTGCAAGAGCGGTCCAGATGGCCCGATCTGGGGGAAACCTCAACCCAGCCAATTCGTACCTCCTCAGTCCCTCAGTCTCCAGGATCTAGAAAACCTCAAGTGGTCTTCCATGGCTATTGTAAGTTTTTGTACAAAGTTCCAGTGCCTTGGGAAAGACTTTTTCGTCCAACACAATGACCGATTGGACAAGTTTATCGCCCGACTCGGTATCGCAACAATATCGTTCGAACCATCCGTCACGGCGCAGCCCCCAATTCAACCTCTTCCTCCAGTGTTCCTGCAAACTGCGGCATGTTCGGCCTCGTTCGTCGTTTTTTCTGCACCTGTCAGAGTTGCCGTTGGTGTGCATTCTTCCAAAAAAGCAAAGTCGAACCGACCTGCAACCGGAACAAGCCACTTGCACCTCGGTTGCTGGCTCCTTGATGCTCAACTCCGGGGAACTATTCCCAAACCGTACGCTACAGACACCCACCGCTTCCACTTTCAAGTTGCCATTGTCGAATTATCGCGCTCCGTGTCTAGATATTCTGCCAATGCCTACCTTCGTCCGGCTCGTCTTCAACAGCATTCAAGGGACCATCTCAACGCCAGCTTCATCAACGCGGGCGACCACCGCCTCCTACTACCTACTACCGCCACCCCATTCAGGGAGACGGGACGAATTGAAACGTCACGTTCCTTAAGCTGATGTCTGTCACAGAACAAAATGAGAGGAAAATACTCCGAACATGGCATATGGCCTGACTGCGGCCCTTGAAGGATGGGCCTATCGGCGACTCTCCGTTGAAATGATTCTCGACTTGCGTAACCAGAATACCATTCCTGTGCTGCCGATTATCAGAATAACGACTCACGTTCCAACCCTGTGACCTAGGTGTCTTTTGAAAAGGACCACGACACAAAAACGCTTGCCATTGATACGCCCGCGCAACCAGCGGAAGAATTGATATTCAATTACCTTTGCCCTGTGCTGTCGCCCTGCACCTTGGGACCCCAGGTTCCCGGCACGAGAACGCTGATCAGCATTACCTTAAAGGCAACTGAGCGGGGGTCTGCCTGCGGTGTGCAGCTTCAGAGTTCCTGCAATTATTCCGCCTGCAGGAGCACCCTCTACGCGAACTGTCGACCGCGTGCTGATTTTTGCCCCGGCATCTCTGTACCGAAAACGCCATTCTGCGACCTGCTTGGTCTTGGCCTACCTGATGGCCATCGGACCGCTGCCACTGCATGCGCAGAACTGCAGACGAAGGGGTTGAACAAACACATCGGTCGCCTCCTGTCGCAAATCCCACGGCACACATCGAGATAACCCTGAGTCCCGGATCGACTCGTCCAACCAGTGGTGCAGCGACAAGAAAGGCACAGAGAACCACGCCAGGTTGGCACGCGGCGCGGCGTCTCCTTCCGAGTTGGTTCCCCCCGCCCGCAGATGCATTTTTTTCCTTTTACAGGCTACAGCAGTGCAGACTGCAGGTCCAACGTCGAGTTCTAGACGCGTTTCAGCTGTCGCATCCACGCTGCGGACATGGAACAGGGCTCAGGGTCAGATCTCTTTATCCCTCACAATGGCCTCAATTGGCCCAGGTCAGTACGAAGTATGGATACAGATACCAGCAAGAGAATGCCCTATTGCATGCCCTAGAGTCATAGACCCTTTTCGATCCTCTGACAAGGAACGACGCCGCTTGCAAGAGAAGGGCAGTCATTGGCACGCCTATCTTTGGTGCATTCGGCTCAATCTTGTCGGTTTGTCAACACCTATGGGTCTCTTGCGAGCATGCGCTGAGGGTATCGGCAAAGCACTGTTGCCTCTTTGACTCCAGACGAGCGCTTCGGCATAGGATTCAGGCACGCTGAACACGGAAGTGTGCGACGGCAAGGCCGCATGAGAGAAACTTCAGGCACACGACGGCATTGTCCATACGCCTACCTCCCGCGCGGCTTGAGCTCAGGGTCTATGCCTCCTCCCATCTGCTACCGAGGCAGCCATTTCTAGATACGTTCTGCTTCACATCAGCAGAAGAGAAAAACTCAATGACTGCTTCCACTGCCCGTATCTCCGCAGAATTTGAATAGCCGTCCTCGACTCCTCATCCGCACGTGGAACTTTGGGACGAAACGAAACAATGCGCCGCCAGTCACGCAGGTAGGCCATTATTTCCCACGGCGAAGAAAGATTTTCGGCCTGCATTACGGGCGATACGTTCTCCAATCTTGACCTCATTTTCGGTCGTCCCTATCTGACCGGCACGTCATCTCCGACAAAAGCCGCCAGAAGCGATTTGCGTTCTTCCGAGGGCAAACCATATAAGCGCCAGTGCGATGATGGAGTTTGACTTTGAATTCAACAACCCTTCAATTCTGAGGGAGCCTCTAATTGGCAGCTCGCTAGCTCCCGTGCCCAACTGTCAAAGTCAAACCGTCCGGCCCCACGGCGCCGACTAGCCTCCGGTGTGGAGATGCCTTTACAAGGCTCGGGATCTTCATCTCGATATCACAGTGGGTAGCACATTATCTATTCGCAACGCAACACACAGATCCCAACAACATTTGCTCCCTTTGAACAATGGCCATTGGCTTGCAATAAACCGCAATGACAGGCTTTCCCATTCCTCGCCTCGCCAGCGAAGCCTGGCAAATTGGTTTTGTTTGCTGCTGTACAGGTTATTAAAGGGGCTTCAAATGTCACACTAACAGGTATGAGTGATGTACATCTCTTCCGGATTCCGAATTGGTGGCATCCACATGCCGGTCCCCGAATCTCATCTCCAGCCTCGGCGAGCATTCCAACGAAGTGTCGATCATGTCGAATCGTCAGGCTAACTAGCTTGCGTGCTTGACTATAATCTTCTAGAAAACTCAATCTCTGAGCTTGAGTCGCATTCTCGATCCCCTTGCCCGTGATACGCACTAAATGTTGTGCATGCCCAAACGGGTCCTGGATCTCCAATTGCGTTTAGCACAAACAGACCGTCGTCAAGGCATCTAGAGACTGACTTTGTTCTTCTCCCTTCATTAATCTTTGCTTAAGAGGAACAGCAATTGGCATCATTTATCAAGGTTTCTGACAGCTGATACATGGCGACTTCTTGGCGCGTGCGAAACTCAAAAGTAATATTACACGGAAATTTTGTCGCTATGCAAGCTAGTCTCTCTGGCGTGGGTCTGTCAAGGTGATCATCCCCAATCGTATGATGAGAGATGATTCCCTCGTAGTTGAGGACCGCTGATAGCTACGGATTAAGGTAATTGCGATCACCGTTTACGTTGGATGATTGTCCACAGACGGTGGTTAGCGATGACGATAGAAAGATATCGAAAGTTGGGATACGGTTTGTATTGAACACTGCTGCTGAAGTGTCGCAGCGTGACGTCAGGAAGACGAAGACAAGGCTCTCGCTGATGTACCTACTGACTAAGAAAGAACGGAACATGACATCGTTGAGGCTCACTCACGGCCGAATCTTGGGATTTAATTATCCAGCTCTAATATTGCCCTTTGCGCATAGCTAGCCTATCCCGCTACATATCCTCAATTCACAGAGACACCTGGCGCACTTGTCTGAAAGAGCGTTTGCAGCCTTGAATGGCAACTGTTTGTACCTTCACTCCATGATCCGGCCGTGGCAATGCTCATGATCTTGAAAGATACCTCGAATCTGGGCCCGTTGTGACGGGTGTTCTCTCATCAACTAGGTCCGGTGATTTACCTCACCTCAAGTCATATATAAGACGATGTCCTCGCCCGTTCTCGTCGCTTCCAACTGCTTCATGACGTGCATGGAAAGGCAATGTTTTGCCCACGACCTTGAGAACCTTGCTCTTTCCCAGCTGTGATACTTTCCCAAGATGACAGACGAACGCAAGCCCAGAAGGAGTCCGGGTGGATATTGGGTAATGGATATCTAGAAGGTTTCGTATCATTTGCCCACTTACCACACAAGCTGTCGCCGGTCATCGTGAGATACTGACGAAGCTTTTCCAAAGGCTCGTCGCCAAATCTCAAGGCGTTTCCTCAGACGTAATGTTGCACGTCGAGAAAGGTGACAGGCTCGACTGGAACAAACAAGATGGTGAATAATACCACTTTGTTCCACGTCTGTCATCAGCCTTGACATTCAGACATCTTGATAGATATCTTTATGGAAATGTATACATCCAATCGAGAGCAGAGCATCTTATGCCTCAAGGGGCTTTGCCAACCATGGCGGCTAAACATACAGTACTCTATATCTTCTGAGAGAGGTTGTCTCCCAGGCTCGGGGTGAGCAAGTGCCAAATAGCACATGTAGACTTGCCGTGAGCGTGATATCATGGCTCTCATGACATGTGACTCGCAATGATATTAAATTTGAATTCTTCACCAGCCCTGTTGGGCTCGAAATTCGGCTGAGAGAACGCTGCATTGCCTTACGGGCAGGCCCTGCAGTCAACAAATTCGACGTTTGGAACCCGTGAGAGCAGATCTTCACCTTGGGCAACCCGTAACTCTCTCGTTTTTCTTCTGCATGGCAGGTTGAGCTACTGTGTCCGATACATGGTCATTCTTGCCGTGGGCTAGGTAAAAGTGCTTGATGCAGATGCTGATATGACGAAATCGGAGAGAGGGTGAGGTTTAGTTGAATGGGAGATACGGCAAGAATCCCGATTTGAAAGACTTCTTCTTCTCTACCAGCTTCATGCCTTGATATAGATCCAGGGACTGGAAAGATTTCATCGGGGAGTATGTAGACTTCTCTCGAGCCCATGTCACAGTGCTCTTACGTTTTGATATGGGCATCTTCGGGCTTCCTATGAGTTCGAGTATAATAGTACGGAAGTCGTCACGGACCGGAAGGCTTGAAGCTTTCTGCCACCCGTGTTTGTGAAGACCTCAGAAAATCCGCGAGATTCTCAGGAGGACCGCGATTCATCAAGATTTCATGCCGATGAGCAATACGCGAGCACGGCGCCTAGCCTTATATATGCCCGTATCTAGCAACAAGTTACACGGCTCGAACCTCTCGAGATCAAAGTGGTAAGGCAGATTGAGCAGGCAAATCGTCACCACGTTCATGAGCGAAACCGAGATGAGAGCGACCCTTCTATTCCTTTTCTGCCTTACCTACCTACCTACGGATTGGACCAAAAGCGGAAGTTGACCGGCGGAGACGGCGGAAAACGACAAATTCGCACCGGAGCGGAGAGTCGGTAGAGTCCGGAGAGTGGAAAATGGAGATTGCGTGATGTGCAATTTCCGGCGATCCCGGGGCGGCCGGCCTGGAAACTTTTCGGAGGCCGATAGGCGGCGGAAGGCGCCGCACTCACTTCTCAGTTTACGAGATCGAGACCATTTGCATTCGGTATTCTACACTAGCAACCAAGAGAGCCCACAATAGTCAAAATCAGCCACTGCTGAGTATCTGGGGAGGACTGGGGGCACATTCAACGGCCAGACCGAACCATTGAGACCAACATGAACCATTTTCGAGCCCGGAACCCACCCGTTCGGAACAGCACAGCCCGAGCGAGAACAGCTGTTTCTATTCTAGCAGCGTAGGGGTAAACTTGCACAAGGCGAACAGCAAGAGAGAGAAAGGGAGAAGAAGAAAAAAAGGGGGGCTAACTAGGTCTTTTGGGACCTGGGGGTGGGCTTTGGTGACTTTCTGTATCACGATGATACGGCGACGGGGTTTCAGACCCGGATGAGACCCCTTGCTCTGAGGCGCGCCGCAGGGCTTTGGCTGAGGAGTGACCTAGCGGTGCAACGATGGAAAATCAATAACACCGCTCAGCGAGTCCTTATCTTGGTACCTAACAAGACTAAAAAGCAGCACCTAGTCAGTCACGTCTTTCACCACGTCTTTCACCCAACTAGAAGGCCTGCCAATGTCTTCGGCCCGTCTACTCGGTCAAGGACCAAACTATTCAGTGTGGCAAGGGACTCGAGCACACGCCGTAGACGTCATGAAGGCAGCTACAAGTAATTAGGGTGCTGAGTGCTCACTCCTCGCTCGTGCTGAAGCCTGTCATTGTGAAGAAGGGAGCCCATGTTCTTGGTGCAGGGATAGGATAGCAACAGCGCGCTTAGCATTGATGCGTCAAGGTAGGCACAGGAAGATAAGGTAGGCGAAAACTCAAAGAGACAGAAGAGCAGGAGCACATGATCCATCGGAGCTGGGGGGAGAGTTCCTGTATCCTTCTGGATAGTCAGCACGGACGACGCTCATGCCATGCGACTCGATACGTGTATTGGAAGTCTTGGGAGGTTGGCCCCCGTTGGTAGTTGCCCGTTGCCGCGTGAAAGTGGTCCGGCACGGAGGCAGCGGA